AAAAAAAAACCAAAAACGAGCTGGTGATGAACGTTGGGGTGACATAATATTAAGGTGGGAAAGGAGAGGGGTACTGAGTAAACCTCTCTCTTTGTGGATCTTTCAACTATACCTCTCCTCAAACCTCCAACACTAATCTAATAGAAGAAAATGGTTTCTATCTTGTTTCTACAGTGATAGCACTGAGTGGAGAATAGCAATTGGAAAAAACATGTACAATTACCTTATTTCCACCTGACTTTGGGTTGACAAAAACTAGAAGCGGCTGCGATGGTCCAGCCATCCAGTCGTTAGGCTTCACAATAAACTGCCGTGTTGGCTAAACGGTTATTGAACATTGATAGTTTGTGATGAGCAGTTAGGCTCACTTTCCGACTTTGTCGGTTTGGTGCCTGTTTTTGCTTATTTCGATGACGACTTGGAAGACGCAGTATCCAATTTGGCGGTACGATCATTTCACGGAGATGACCGCGATCACACCTGAAGAGTCTCTCAATCGATTGAGAAGGTGAGATTGAAACTACGGCAAACTGATAAAAAGTATTCAAAAAGTGATTTGATGTGTCTTACCTTTCTTCCAACTTTTCTCGATTAAAACAATTTTTGAGATGATACGATTCCTTGCACCAAGAACATGCCACCGCCATTGTTTCCTGATACGGGAACTAATTTTGAGGTGATAATATTAAAAACATCAAGTTAAAGGATACTTCATCAAGTGAACGTATCATTTAGGTACTTCATGCAGGAAGGGGTTTCGAGAGAATCGCTCAATATTTAAAAAAAAAAGAGTGAGTTCATATTAGCTCGCTGAGTGCATTAGCTTTATTGGTGAGACATAGAAAGTTAGTAAATCTTTTATTTAGAAAATTTCTTGGTTTGCTATAACAATTAGACTGCGCATAGTTTAGCATCATTCTGAAATATTGTGAGTGAAGGGAATCCAATTTATCAAAATGATTCATTGTATGGAGAATGATGTAATAAAGCAGGGGGAAGATGTGATTGAAGAAGAACAATGGCAGAAACGTCGCTAACTTAGTGGTAAGCATTAGTCGTAAGCACATTCAAAAACTTGCTTTTTCTTTCTGCTGAAAGTTAAACATCTTTTGTTGGAATGATTTCCCGCAATTGCTGCATCGTCCTTCGTGACGCCACTAAACAAGTAGGATAATTCACTAAACCTTTATTGAGTGTTTACTGCGAAAACAAATAAACCAGATGCATTCGCCTAACTTGAAGTTTATAACCTCAGATATCTTGAATCATTATGGGAAGAGAATAGTCTCGATGAAATGCACAAATTTGCTAAGAAGGTAGATTTTTCTAGCTGTAGTCAGGAGAATGTAAACCTTAGCTAATAAATTCAACTTTAATAAGTGAGAGCTAGTAGTTATGCGCTTTCACTGTACTTCAGGAGAAAAGCTCAAGTTGCTCGTCGAGGTCTATCCGTTTCTTGAATGCTCGATACCTTATGAACCCAATGATGCATGCTCAAACTGTCTACTGCTTCCTTTGGTGGTTGTTTCCTCAACGTGTGGTCATGGAACGTCATTTTGCAGTTGAGATTCAGCTACATAAATGA